AGTGTAGCAATGATGAAACATACAATTTTCCTCTAGTTCTTGAATGCTACCTCTCCCCCACTATCATGATCCCAATTCTACTTTACAAATCCAGCTGGACTGGAAGATGTACACTGGTACAGATAGGAACTGGAAACAGGGAATCCAGGTCAGATGAACCCCTCAGGACCAGTGATGAGAGTGGTGATACCGGGAGGGTGGATGGAAGGTGTGGTAGAAAGGGGAAACCGATTACAAGGATCTACATATAACCTCCTCCCTGGGGGACGGACAGCAAAGAAGGGGCTGAAGGGGGATGTCAGACAGTGTAAGATATGCAAAGTAATAACTTATAAATTATCAAGGGTTCATGAGTGAGGGGGGAGCAGGTAGGGAGGGGGCGGGGGGAAGAAGAGCTGATACCAAGGGCTCAAGTAGAAAGAAAACATTTTGAAAATGATGACAACATATGTACAAATGTGCTTGACACAATGGATGTATGGATTGTCTTAAGAGTTGTAAGAGCCACCAATAAAATGATTTATTAAAAAAATTTTTAAGTATCTAAATGGAAAATAATGGGTGCTATCTCCAAATTCTATATTCTACTGCATTTCTCTCTCTCTCCCTTCCTCCCTCCCTCCCTCCTCTCTCTCTCTCTCTCTTTCTTTTTCTCTCTAACCAATATAAGAAAAATCTATTTGTTTTGATGACTTATTAACTTGATTAGGAAAGAAGTTGGGCAACATAATGCTTTGCAACTATGTAAACCAAACCATAACCACAACATCTAGATATGTAGCCTAAAGACTATGGCATAGTCTCTATGGTAAACTGTTGGTGTACTATAGATGGACTAAATACTTCTGTCAAAAAGACCCCATCACCACATCTGGGTTTAGATGGCATGATTCATAGTGGGCCCAATCAACAAAGAACTAGCAGGCCCTCTTAGTTCAGCAAGGTGGTAGCATTGGCTTGTATACCCACTGTGCCATCCAGGTGTGGATGAAAGACTTCTGTTTCAAAGACAGAATATAAATTTTACAAGAATTAGATTACATTTTTTAAAAAGTGTTTAATAAAGCAACCTCTACCATTTCATCTCTAAAAGAACACCATATGTTTCACTAATTCATAGATCCTTGAGTCATAGACCATCCCCTGTTTAGATGTCATGAGTGACACCAACACCTGCCAGCTTGGCAGATGTGCTAGTGCATGAATGAGTGAAAAATGCAAATGTAGGACTGACAGATCAATAATGGAGTTGAATCTCATTACTGTTGCAGATGTAAAAAATGTGTACAAAATTTTTGAACTGTTTATAATAACTACCAATATTCTTCAGACAGACTTCAGAAGGTTTGGAGCATATTTTTCACACAGTAAGACTTGGGTTAGCAGATTTCTATCATACAAATCAAATTCTAATTTCATGAGAACAGAATAAAAATTTTACCAGGACTACTCATAATTTAAGATGATTGCCTTGATAATTTAGTGGTATAAGTCATTTTGTAAAAATCAACATTCTAATGGAAATTCTATTTCTCTGGGAAGTAATGTGCAAAGAAAGAAAGCTCATAAATTTAAGAGAAACAACTAGAGATACAATAAATTTGGAGAAAATATTCCAGAGACATTTGTGTCAGAACTACTAAAGAAAAAATTTTGTTACTGAAGTTTCAAGTATTTATATCAGAAGCACATCGTTGTCCCACTGGGCCACACCATAAACCTACATCATAGAAAATGGTGTCATTGGGCTGTTTACAAGGTATGTGGATTACCTCTTTACTGTCAGCTTTCAAACCTGGCTCTTTACAAGTGCTCTTCATCACACAAATACATGGAAACTGAAGTTTGTTGAAGAAGTAAGTTCCTTTACTCTGAGGGCCGGAAAGGCTAGCGCATGGCACACAGAGACCCTTATATACTGTCCCTACAGAACTATGTGATGGTTGTGTGCTTCCCAATCCATGTTTGACTCATACAGACTCCATCCATGTGAGCTGGCAAAAATTCCCTTAAGATGTTCTAGCTGTAATCTTTATGCCAACCTAGATGAGCAGCTAAGCACGGAACCATTACACCACCAGGGCAAGTCCCTGCACAGCCAGTTCCCAACTTTGCCCTGCTTGAGAGACTCCTCACGAAGCACAGTCTGATTAGAATGAAAGGAATTTGCTAAGATGAAGAAGAATCATAGACTTCCGTAAGAAACTTACATGGCAACAGCGGACATCCCCCTGCAGGGGCTTCTCACCTCCACAGCACGAAGACACAGCCACTCCTGTTGGAGAAACAGTAGGCGGGGAAGCTATACACATGAACTCCCGAGCTAGTGGATTTGAACCTGAGTTTAAGTTGTGCTTTTTACAGTGAACCCCACTTGCTACAAGTATGAAGTATGAAGCCATACAGGACAAATATAATGCCTCTTTCAGATTGGTGGTCGTTAAGTATATGGAAACAGCATTCATGTCTCCCCAGGGGACTGGCCGGTCAACACACACAGACCAGCAGCTTTACCCAGAAAAATAACCTTTTCACACTCAACACAGTAATAATAAAGCAATTTTTCTGTGTAAAACTAGGAATCCTAACTGTAATAGTTCATATGCAGCTAACTTCAAATGACTAACTTGTTTGATAGCAATTTCTCATCCAAACAGGATGATCACTTCTTACTCAAAGGCAAACATGTACATTTTCTTAAACATATAAGCTGGTAAGTAGACTGTAATGGAGCAATTTCAGTCCTATCAAAACTCTCTCTGAAAATTAATGCTGGTTCTTAGGAAGTATCTTTCCATTTAGAGTAAAACCTTAGCATTTTAAGAGCTGAATGGATCCAAATACTTGGCAAATTCATGGTCAGGAGAAATAACTAAATGCGAAGTAGGAAGTTGTCCATTTTTTAATGTAGCATGAACTACCGGCACCATCCGAGGTCACAATCCCCATGAAATCCTCCTAAAACTAATCTAGTTCTCCAGATAATACTGGTATAAACTAATGTTAACAGATCCAGAATTTTAAAATATACAACATACAAGATGGAATATTAAGTTCCAAGCCTAATATCTATTGAAATACCAAACTTTGGCACATTTCAACCATAACACAGTGTTCTTTACTACATTCTTAGCGTTCATTAATTCAGACTTCCGTCATTTTCTAGTATGATATAAATTAAGAGAAAAGGGTGCCTCTTTTTCAAAGCATGTTTTAACCTCCCATTTCACTTATTGTAGACTCTGAACTCCTATGACTTATTTACACCCTTTAAGTTCAGGAGCCTGTGTTCCAAGGGCTCAGACTGGCATATGCTTGTCCCTTCACTCGTTAACTTCTGTGTCAGCTACCACGATGACAATGGGTCTCCTGCTATCCCTGACAAGCCCTCACCGTACCATCTGGCTCTTGCTGACCTGTCTATGGTGCATTTTCACAAACCTCTCTCAATTGTAAGTCTTTTTCTACTGGTGACTGAGAGGAATGAAACGGATTAGAATTGCAGGTTGAGTAAAGGAGCGTTGAGGGAACAAATTCCATGCACATGAAAAGGTGAAATATGCTGGTCACCATCGCTAATTGCCATCAAGCCAGTTCCCACTCCGGAGACCCCCATCTGGGAAACTGTGCTCTGTGGTATTGTCGAGGGAGGATGTTTTCAGCGCTGACTTTTTAGAAGTACAGTGTCAGGCCTTTCTTCCATGGTGGCGCTAGCTGGACTCAAACCCGCAATCTCTGGGTGAGCAGCTAGAGTATTGACCAGTTACACTGCCCAGGGGGAAATGTATACTGCAGTGAAAAGTGCAGTCAGTGAGTGCAGAGGACACTTAGCTGTCTTATTTGTATGCTTTTCCTGCCAAGAAGGGGTAGGAATAAAACAGGTCCCAGTGGAATAATTATAATGCATCAATTAAAGCAGGGCTCTTGTTTCTAATGGTCAGAAATTGTCTAGGGGTCAGATGGATGCTCACCCACCTTCTCCTGCCTGAATACCATCAAAGAGAATCTTCAAAAGGGAGAAAGCCTTGGCCCAAAAGTGAAAACACGTACAAACTGAAACTATGAAAGCAGTAGGATGTCATCATGGAAACCCATCACGTAGAAGAGAATGGGGACCTCAAGTAGACCTGCACGGGTATTCAGGAATAGGATGATAGTGGCTTGGTAGATCAATACCTCATGTCATGTCTAACAATAAATTTCAAATGAATTAAAACACAAATTTAAAAAAAAACTATTTTAACTTCATAAAGGGTTGATGAGCAGTTGTAGAATCTTAGGGTAAAAAAAAATCTATACAAGACAAAGCTTCGTATGTCATAAAAATACTGTCACATTTGACAACATGGATGTAAAAATCTTCATACAAATGATACCGATTGGCAAATGGGGACAAAAAAGGAATTCTATTCATCCTCAAAAGAAAACAGAAAATCGGACAAACACTAGACACAGATATTTCACAGAAGAAATATAAGTAGAAAATAAACTTCTAAGAAGCAAAATCTGACCCATAAATGTTAAAATACATTCACATATCACTTTAAACCCTGACTATAAAAATTAAAAAGACAGATAATAGGAGATACTGGTAATGGTGCACATAAGCACACATTTTCACACACCCTTGAGGAAATATACAGCTTTTTCAAAAGGCAGTTGAGCAAGAGTAATTAAAATTTGCAATAAGCTTCCTATTTGCCTCATAAATTCCACACCTAGGGATGTACTCTCTTTAGTTGGTGGCTCCTAAATTACTGTTTCGGGGTGGAAGAAAGCTGAGAGTGAAAGTTCTCCATTAAAGTCTGAAAATAAAAAGGGATCAGTGATTTGGCAGTAAATGAGCTGCAAGTCAAATATGTATCCCAATGCCAGGAAATGGTTGGGAAAATCAGAACACTGCAGGGTAAACTGTGATGCAAAGAGGAAGGGAAAAGTAGCTGTGGGAGATTTCCTGCGTGACAATCTCTCCGTCTCCAACTTGGCATCTTCTTGTGAGATCACCAAGGACTTTTCCTATTTGAACTGTGTTCGATCTTGGCCACATCTTCGGCTTTAGAACCGGAGGCCATGAGCTGCTCAGGACGGAACTCGCCCTGTTCTTCAGTGGATAATAAAACCCCATCGAGATACTTATCTGCAGTGCCTTTCAAATTGACTGTGACCAAAGATCTACTTCAAGAAAGAAAAAAAATTGAATTCTAATATCCACACATCAGATGCATTACATGAAACTTACTCTTTACTTGCTATTTCCTATTGTATGGCTACCCACAACCCACTGAGTTGGTTTGAGGCCCCACAAAGTATTCATCGTCAAGGGTTTGAAAAATACTGGGTAAGACTACTCTAAGAGATCAGTGAGATCAGGTCAGTAGAATATATGATTAGATCTCTAGATATGCTTAAGCCTCAAAACTCTGGCATATTATGCAAAAGGCCTGAAGAAAAGGTTCTTTATTTGAACAGACAACACCTGTCCTGCCAGAAGGATGCTTATAGTTTTATCAGGAGAAACCCTTCTGAATTCATATCAATTACTAAGCTAGTTCTTCCAGCTCTAGCACTCAAGAAAGACTATGTAGTCCATCTCAGTATGACATTGAGGTAGTTAGTTTATTGTGCCAACCTGGCCGATAAACACATGTGGGGTTAATTGAAGGGCAGAGAGATAAATGGCTCAGTGAGCCTCGCCTTTCTAGGTCTTGGGTCTCTTGCTTTCTGATGGTCAGACCAGAGTGCAGCTGCCTTAGCCAGTTCCCTGCTTCAGCTGGCAAGGCTGACTTCCTGCAAGACATCCCCGAGGAAAAGCCACATGGACCTACCCCAATGCAGCCCTGGGTGCTGGAGCAGCTGTGTGGAGAGCCCTGCCAGTGCTTAGATGCTTACATGCTCACTGATCCACCTTTCCTCCTGCGGTCAGCATCATTGCGTCTGCTTCGTGAGATGGATGAGGACTTTGTGGATTGGTGTTGGACATATGGGTTAATGTTGGACTTGTGGGCTTGGGCAGCACTGGGTTGGGATGTTTCCTTGATGTGCACTTACCCTTGATATAAAAATCTCTCTTATACCTGAGTTTCTGTGATTGGTTTCTCTAATGTACCCAGACTATCACACACCCATCTATAGCAGGAATTGGGAAGCAGTTGATTCCTTCTCTAAATTTTGCATTGCATTAAATTTGATAAAGAACCAAAGAAAACATTAAAATTCATTGACTAGATTCTGTCCCCTATGGTTCTGAAATGTTTTCCTGATAGCAATTTAAATTAATGAAAGCATATTCAGTGCAGACAAACATGAACTACAACTAAACTACAAACTAAATCACAGCTATCAATCAGGTCAAAGGATAAAGAAGAACCTGACTAATTCTGACTGAGCCTGTGTAGCTTCCAAGATCACAAGCAGTCTGGTTGAGAAAGAAAATACTCCTTCGCTGTATATTGTAATAACTCCAATGGAAGATAATATTTCTGTAGCTGGTAAATCTAATGTTGTAGGGGAATAACTGTCCTTAATCAAGTATAGCAAAAATGCACAGGCTAAATAATCAACAACAGAAAAAGAAAAATTGAGCATCAACAGTTGCTGACAAGTCAATTCTGGCTCATGGCACAAGGACAACGATTGGGCATGTTTGCAAAAATGAAGATCAGGATGGTTCTTGATAGTTTTTGTTGTTACCCCATCCCACCCCACTTCCTTTGGCATATCCCCATATTTCAGCCTCACAACTAGCAATTAATGAATAATGATGGCAGAAAAAGCTGTTTTTTAAAACAAAGTTGCCTGGTGAGCATCATGAATATTTTCATGCAATACACCACACACATGCTAGGATCATAGCACAGCGAGAAGCACATTTGTCTTCGGCAGAAACACTGAATGTGCTTTCCACTTTGCAAATTACAGGCATCATTGTTTCTGTCCTTTCCAAGACATCCTTATGCTGTTCGTATGATTTACGACTGAAAGTACGAGAGACGGTGCAAAGATCCTGTGCCAAATTCCCATATGGCATCTTACACAAGCCAAACTGTGAAAACCTCATAAATGCGAGTAGATCAGTTTCATCAAAGAAGGAGCAAAGGGGTTCCAGAGACTGAGCAAGAGCCCGGCCAGATATTGTTTTATAGGCATGTCATTCCAACGCCGCAGTCCTGGATGGGTCCTGCTCCCTAAACATATAATGCTTGAGTTAAAAACATGGGCAGGCGGTCAGCAAGAAACGAGGCAGAGATGATTTGGGACATTATCACTCAATCTTGCTTCTTATCCTTTGGCAAGTCTATTTTATTTTATTTTTTTTAGATTGAACAACACGTAGAATTAATATTACAATATTTATAATGATTTTAAAACACATAAGAATGTCTTTGTCAACAAGTAATAAATTCTGAAATCATGAACTCCAATGGAATAGAGTGCAAAGATTAGAAAAAAATTGTCTAAAGGAGAAAGTCGTTTAAGGAAATTCGTTTAAGTGGCATGTCACTTCATGACATGCTAAAACATAGTAATCAACTTCAATGTGCAAATATTTATCACATCACAAGTACATTTTTATACACTTTAAGATACTGAGTATCTTTTCTTTCAATTCAAATTCAATTCATTATTTATTGTCTCTACGAATTAGGTAAGCAAAAACAAGTAAGTCTTGAAACAAAAATTTGAGTAAAGGAAGTGTCAAAATGCAAACAAAAGTCAACAAAGGAAATGAAAATTACAAAGGGAAGGCAGCAAGGTCTCACTGTCTGAAGGCTAACTGGTTTCAGTACAGCTTATGAAGACAATGGACAAAAAGCTAAGAAAGTCAGCGGAAGGCACCGTGTGAAACACAATGAATGACAAGGTAAGGTGTGTATCCCACAGCATATTCTAGCACAGCAACCTCACTACAACATGACAGTATGAGCATGAGATACTACAGTTGTGCTTTGGCACGACTAAACTGGTAGCATAGGCTTCAATAAGATCCAATGGACAGTAAAAAGCCTAAGTGGGGTTATTATGAATTTAAAGGATTCAGGTGGAAAATAAACAAGATATTGAGATGTAATGGAAAGGAAATGTATGAAGATGATGAAATAACATAGAAGGCAGGATTTTTATAATGTGGCATCTAATAAAGGGGCTGAGGCTACAGAAAGAGACTAGGATAATTACATGCTTTTGTCAGTAACTGAAATAGAAAACTCCAAAAAGGAAGTTTGCTGAGATAAAGAGAATGGAGGAGTCAATGCGAGGTGGGCTGCATGCATTGTGTGAAAAGAATCACAGTTGTACATTTTAGTCTGAAGTTTAGGGTTAAAGAAAAGAAACGACCATTGTAAAGGTGAGAGCCAAAATCATGGCTGTAACTAACTTTTTGGAAGTAGAGAGAATATAGAAGAGATCATGGTCGAATCATTAAAATCATCTGACACTCCCCATTGGTAGGAGAGACCAAGGAAGGGTTCCAACAAACTTGCAGAAGAACCAGTCAATCATACTACTAGGACACCAGAGAGGATTGTCAAAATGGTCCTATTTTGGAAAGAAGAATGAAAATGAAGGTTTAGCAATTAACAGAGTCCTACACCCCACTAAATTGAGTTAGTGGCTCAGAGTTTGGAAAACACTTTGGTTGTGAGTTTCAATAAACAAATGTAGGCAAAATCCAGACAACACAGCACTCTGACCTAAATAAATCATGGGAAAGTACATGCTAACTCTTCTCTTATTGCTCCATGTTGTACAGTAAGTCCCAAATGGATAAAAACTCTCCAAAAGATAAACAATGGCAGTCGGGCCAGCAAATTATCAAAAGAGAAAAAGTATTTACCTTCTTGTGATTCTTGTAAACATTTCTGTGGGCAAATCCCTTTCCACAAAGCTTGCATTTGTAAGGTTTATCTTCGCTGTGTATTACTTTGTGAGCACCCACTTGATCAAGCCTTTTGAAAGACTTATTACAAATCTCGCAATTATAAGGTCGTTTTTCTATTAAAAAAATGAGCAGAGGCAATTCTGTTTAAGTAAAACAAAACATTCAAACTTGTTTAAAATGAAACTATGACTTTGAAAACGAATATTCTCCAAGTGTACTTAAATAACTTTCTCACTAACATTAATTAGGACATTAGCTATAAAAGTATCCAGAAAGCAGATTTTAATTATTCAAAGGACTATAAAGAAAATGAGTAGAGACTACAGTTGTTGAATCCCTACTAAAAGTCAAGAACATAAACAGCCTTGTTCAACCTTCATGGAGATTCTGAAAGATCAATAACAACTTCCAATTTCAGGCATGAAATAAAAAACAAAAAGCTGAGACTCAAAGAAAAGGAAGTGACCGATTTAATGGTGACTTTGAAGATCTCTGATATGATTTAGGACAATCAGTGTTTTCTTATAAATAAACTGGGCTCTAGAGAAGTTAAAGAACTTGCCCCAAAACACACCACTAATAATGGCCATGTTACAACTGATAGCTGCATCTCCTGACTACCATTCCAAGAACTACAAAAAATGACAAAGTGACTCTGTTGTAGTGATTTCAATATAAATTAAAAAGTATGTATTTTACCTGAGTGGGTGATCATGTGACGTTTTAACTGGTTCGCTGAAATAAATTTCTTCATACATTCTTGACAATCAAATATCTCATGAACCTACAATAGGAACATTTAAAACTGCCTGTCAAAACATAATATATTATATAGAGCTCAAAAAGTTACACTTAAAATCATTTGCTACTTCATTACCCCAAACTATACAGCTCTGATGCTTAAAGGAGCCCTGGTGACATCTGATAAGCACTGGACTGCTAACCATAAAACCGTAGGTTCAAACCCACCCACCATCCACAAAAAAAAGATGAGCCATCATGTTAAGATGCATGAAGCCTTGAGAAACTCTGTAGAGTCACCCTGAGTCAGAATTTACATGATGGAAGAAAGTTTGGTTTGTGTTCTTTAAAATTAATTCTTACAATACAACGTAAGTCGAAATTTTACATTGAGCATGAAAACATGTTCTGATAGACCATACTATTTAATAGGTAATATGGATACCTGATCTGTGTAATGCATGTTGAATTCACATTTTCAGTGAAAATGTCTATTAGACATTAACTCTTTTGTTATGTACAAATTGAGACTTAGAAATACATAATCATATAGTGTTGCTTTTACAGTAGCTGATAAGGTTTTAAATTTAAATAAATGGCATGTAACTATGAAGACCCTTGAGAAGAATGGGAATTCCAGAACACTTCATTGTGCTCCTGTGGAAACTGTACATGAATTAAGAGGGAGTTGTGTACCTAGAAGGAGGAAATCATTCATGCTTTAAAACTGGGAATGGGATGTAAAAGGCTGTATTTCTCATTGCACGTATTTAATATGTAAAAGGCTAGTTTATATGAAGAATGTGGCATCAGGATTGGAGGAAGGCTTGTTAACAATCCGCGATGTGCAGAAGACACAGCTGTGCTTGATGAAGCACTTGCTGATGAAGACTAAGGATGCTGCCTTCAGTATGGAATGCTACTCAAAGTAGTATTTGGTGTAAAGAACACCAAAATCCTCACAACTGGGCCAACAAGTGACATCATTCATGATAAAGCATTAGAAAACTGAAGTTCTCAAGGACTCCCCCTTGCTTGGATCCACAATTAACGCTCATGGAGGCAGCAGTCAAGAGATCCACTGTCACATTGCATGTGGACTAAGGTGCACCTGGCCCAAGCCATGGTATTTTCAATCACATAATATGTAGGTGAAAATTGGACACTGAGTATGGAAGACCGAAGAAGAATTGACTCATTTGAATCACGTTGCTGGTGAACAATATTGAAAGTACCACGGACTGACAGAAGAACAAACAAATCTGTCTTGAAAGAAGTCTAGCTAGAACGCTCCTTTAGAAACAAGGATGGTGAGACTTCGTCCCTATGCATCGGACATGCCAGCAGACAGCAGTCCCTGAAGGACCACATGCTTGGTAGAGGGGAAGTAAAACAGAGAAAAACCCTCAAGAAGATGGACTGACAGTTACTACATCTGTGGGCTCAAAATAAGAACACGTGTGAGGCTGGCGCGGGACTGAACAGGGTTTTGTTCTTTACACATAGGGTTGTTATGAGTGGAACAACACAACATAAAGTCATTTGAAGTTGTCATAAAGCGCTGTCCAGTGACAAGGTACGATACTACACCCAACTCCATTAGACCCATTGCATGGAATTCATTCTGATGCACACAATCTCCAGCGGGCTGGGTCAAACTGTCCCCTACAGTTTCCAACTCTGTTATCTTTAAAGAATCCAGCCTCATCTTATTCCTGATGGACCTTTCTACCCCTGTCTTTCAGCTAGCAGCTGAGTTTAACACTGAAGTTGTGACTTAGATGAAGGTTTATGTTTCAGATGGTCAGATTTGTATGCCACAGTTTAAACTACGAATCACCCCCACCCCAATAACTTACCCTGGGCACCCCCTTTGACCTCCTGTGAATCCCTGTCATTAAATTCACCCGAGTTCAGGCCTGTGTATACTCTAACCTAGGGCCAACAATCCATGGCCCTCGAGTCACATGTGGCTCTTTGGGTACATACATGTGCCCCCAAAGTAAAACTGAAAAATAATTTAAAAGATAGTATTCACATAATGATGATGTCACTTATATATAAATATATTCATGGCTCTTGAATAATTTTAAAATTGTTGTGAGGGACAGGATTGGCTCTTTCATCTCAAAAGTATACCAATCCCTCTTTAGCCTATTACTTCATCTTCCCTTCATTGACCTCCCCCAAAGTAACCTGAAAAGTCTGTTTTCCTGGTAGGAAAACATTCGTTTGATTTTTTTTTTTTTTTGTAACAGTTTTCTAGGCCAATCCGTGCCATGAGTTGCTTCAGCGTTTCATCCCTGCTCATGTTATGACCCTTCCTTGTTCAGGGTATGCACACAGCAGGGGGCCTGCTAAGTCATATCAATTCCCCAGAGTGGCAGGTAGCACCATATCATTTCCACATATTTACAGTGGCACCACCAGTATGTGAGAGGTGTGATCCCTCTGCAACCTCTCCAACATTTACCACCTTTGTTGTATTTGAACTTGGCTGTCATTGTTGGCGTAAGGTGCTTTGAGTTTTAGCTCCCAGACGGATAGTGATCATGAGCATTTCTTTATGTTCACTGGCCATTTCAAGGTCATCTTTGGTGAACTGTCTGTTCATATTTTTGCCCATTTTAATGGACTACCTCTTGCCCATTTTAATGGTGCTATTGGTCTCTTTCTTATTGAAGGGTTAGTTTTCTATAGATTTTAGTAATTAGTCCTTTGTCCCTTGTGTCATTGCCAAGTTTCTTTTCCCACCCAGTGGGTTCTTTTAGTCTTGAAGTATTCTCATGCACATAACTCTCTTCTCTTAAGTAGACTCCAGTATTTATTTTGTCATCTACGGTGTGTGCTTCTTTCATTATAGATGTTAGTGCAACAGGTGAGTTCTAAACCACTGCCCACCAAGGACTCCGTGTTCGATATTAGGTAGATCCAGATGTAAGAAAGAAGAGAGTCAACAATTCAAATCAGAAAAACTTGCCTGTGGGTTCGGATAGGTTAAACTGGCAGGACTCTTGAGGTAATGAGGAAGTGCTTAGAGAAATGTTATTAACATTCTGCAGAAACCCCTCAAGAGGTATCAAGCTGCAGTTGCTATATTCCACTAGCAAGAGGGAAGATTTCTATCAAAAGATATTTCTTCTAAGACAAAAATAATTTGATTGTGAAGAAAACTAAAGAGGAAAGTGTATATTCTTCAAAAAGATGATCCACTGATTTGTTTATCAGAATACACATGTGGTAAACTTTTCATTTGGAAGGATATCCTAAATTTCAACATGTAAGAACGGACATGGTATTAGGAAGACCAGCGCCTGGAGGAGGCCATCACCGGGGTAGAGTAGAAGGTGAGAGGCACGGTGCTATCGCAAGGAGCACAAGCACAACAATGATGAGGATGGTGTGAGGCTGGGCAGTGTTTTGTTCTGTTGCATAGAGGGCTGCCATGCGTTGGTGCCAACTTGATGGTATCTAACCTAATGAAAACAATTAAATAGATGAATGTAGTAATCATGAGCTTTTAAAACTAAAAACCACTGCCATCAAGTTGATTCTGACTCACAGAAACCCTATGTAGAATTTCTGAAGCTATAGATCTTTAGGGGAGCAGAAAGCCTCATCTTTCTCCCAGGGGGCAGTTGGTGGGTTAGAACTACTGATCTTACAATTGGGTAATCCAATGCTTACCCAACAGCATTTACAAAACACCCACTCCAGTGAACTTAATCTCTGTCTCAGAAATGAGGGTTTGGCTTCAGAAGCAAGAGGAGCAGCATCCGGATGGAGCATGGCGTAACATTTCTTTGAAAATTATTCTCCTGGCACTCAAAAAAAATGGTAAAAAACAAGAACCAGTCTTTGTTTCATGTCATCAATAAGAAGTTGGAGGCCCAGTGTCATGTGAAGTGCTAGTGACATACAAGGGAAGGCATCGTGCTGCTCTGTCTTCCTCCTTCCTAGGGGTCAAAATCACTTAACATGCAGGAGTGACCTCGGGACATACCAACCTGGCTTGTTCACCATCTCAGGCACTAACGCTTCCATCTATAGCACATGGGCTAGAGGTGGTGGATTAAGTATCATATGAATAATAGGTTTGGCCAGTTATTTTGCAACACATGTATTAGTGGGCTTCAAACAGTTTGTAGGAAAATGCCATTATCTTTAGATTCCATTTTTCCTGAGCTTTTTTCAAACTCACTCCTATTTATATATTGGATAAAAGGTAAAGCTCAATTCTCAAGCCACAGAAAAGTAAAATTTTACTTTCACTTCTCTTTTTGTTGAAAATCCTGGAATAAATAAATGTTTCAAAGTAATATATTCCAAGATATCGTGGGGGGAAATGCAATGTATAAAATTAGAAAATGGGCACGTATGTTTTGAATGTAATAATATAAAGCAAATAAATTGTTGGACTCTGGCATGCTACTAATAAAATCAAAACTGTATTCTAATTCTGTTTTTCAAATAAATTTTATTAGCTAGCTGATAATGGTGTTATAATTTATAATTGCCATTTATTTGCAGACAACCTTTTCATATCCAAATAATACCTTGGTAAGCTTTTTAGTTATTACAAAATATATGCAATCTAGTTTCTCCTAATGTATTCATTTGTTTCTGCTTACAGCATTTTGATATACAAGTATATGATTTTAGAGTCTTCAAAATAGAACCAGAGGATGTCCATTGGTACAGTTAGCAACTGGAAACACAGGGAATCCAGGACAGATGACTCCTTCAGGACCAGTGGTGAGAGGGGCGATGCCTAGAGGGTGGAGGGAATGTGGGGTAGAAAGGGGAAACCGATTACAAGAATCCATGTATAGCCTCCTCGCTGGGGGA